TCACCTCCTCTTCTGCTTTCATCCCCTTTCACTGACACCACCCTTCTCAGTGTCACCCCATCAGTGACCAGCAGAGTCAAGTCTCAGAGGTTTGCTTCAGGACTCACTGGCGTTGGCCTCCTCCCCTAAGATCTCTGCCTTCCCAATCCGGTTTCTGTCACCACTCCCTGCATCTCTTCACATTTCTCCCAAGGTTTTTCCTAACTTCTCTCCCAAGATCCTCGTTCTCTGTTTCTCTGGAAGGCAGGTGTTGTCCTGGGTTCACTTTGGCCCTCCTGTCACCCCCTCTTCTCACAGCTTCTTCCCAAGGCTGCTTTTCCACTCTGAGAGGTTCAACAACCAACTTTTCTCCTTCGCAGCTGACTTCTTGAAAGAGAGATCACTACTTCCTTCACTTCTTCCCTCACTTTTACTCCACCATCTACTGCTCTCCCCTCCTCACCCGCACTGTCCCACTGAGACACCCATCCCCACCAGTGTCATCAGCAACTGTCCGTTGCTGTGGAGTCTTGACAGCATCCTGCATATTGACACCTCCCTCTTCTCTTGAGCATATTCTTCCTCTGGAAGAATTCCTGCTTCCTTGAGTTCCAGGCCTTTGTGTCAATTGCCTAATAGACCTCCCCAAGTGTCCTACAAGGAACCATACAGTCACCACATCTAAAGCCTAAGCTCTCACTGTCCCCACCCCTGCCATCTCTTCCTCTACTGCTGCTCCTGGGGTCCCCTTCTCAGCAAAAGGCTGACAAGCGTTCTGTGACGCAGCCCAACGTCTTCAAGACAACGTGACTTGTGCTTGTCCTCATCCCTCCCCCAACGTCCGCTCATCTCCCAGACTTGTGGATTCTACAGCCTGGATATCTACTCCTTCCCCTCCTCATGGTTCAGCCTCAGCTCTTCTCCCCTCGAGTTGGAACCTAGGCATCTCCCTGACTCCACTCCTGCTACTTCTGCCCCCCATTCTCCACTCCATGTCTCCTGTCTGATTTCTTGTCTTTCAGATAATATCTGAGTACTGTTCCATAGTCCGAACCCCTTCCTGCTCTGACCCCTGCTTCTTCATCCAGCTTCTCATCTGAATACTCAGCTACACTGCTGTGCTGAACTCATTTTGGGCCCTGAATGTGCCACCCTGTCCCTGGTAGCACTCAAGGAAAATGTACAAAGAGAATGCTGCAATTTGAATGGGTGATGGGTGATAGGATTCTGAGAAGGCCTTTTGCAAACCTCTTTTTCACAAAAGTGAAGAGTAAGGAATAAACAAAGCCATGGAAGGCTGCCACTGGGACACCTGGGTCACCAGTCACCAGTGGGTTGCTTCAGTTACTAAAGAAAATAAGGCCGAGACCCAGAGGAGTGTTCATTTTAACAGCGAATTAAGTAAACATAGTGAGTAATAGACAAATTCATAACTTCAAGTGGACTTGCTAATTTGTACTCCAGTTGAATAAAAGGCTCAAAGTAGAAAAGTAATCCTAAAGACTCCTTTATAACCACAGTATAGCATTTGGAGTATTTCCTCATGCAGTGACTAGCCCAACAAGGACAATACTCAGTTTTAAATGTATTAACAAATAGTAACCTGATTCTACAAAGAAATTTCATATTTAATAAAATCAATCTACCATACTTTCAATCTCCGTAGCCCCTATATTTTCCTACTTCTGCCTTTTATATACTGTGTTTTTCTCTACCTGGAACACATTAGCTAAGAAAACTTGGTACAGTGGTTTATTTTTATTTTATTTATTTATTTTTGGCTGACTAATTTAACCTCTTCATTTAATCATCTGTAAAACATGAGGATTAGGGGCTGGGGATTTTGCTCAGCGGCATAAATGCCTGCCTTGCAAGCAGGCACTCGTGAGTTCAATCCCTGGTACCGATAAAAATGAAAAAGACAAAAAACAAACAAACAAACAAAAAAACATGAGGATTATTAAAAATAATAGTACCAAGGTCAGGCATGGTGGTGCATGCCCAGCATCAGGAGGCGGAGACAGGAGGATTGCAATGAGTTCAAGGCAAGCGTAGGCTACATAGTAAGTTCAAGGCCATCTTGGATTCCGTAGGGAGACCTTGTCTCAAAAAGACAATAAATAAATAAATAAATAAAAGTACCTAGCTCATAGGCTATTGGAAAGATTAAATGAATTAATGTTTGTCAAATCCTGAGAATGGAATCAATGTTTAGCACTTAGTAATAAGCTACCCTATGATTATTGCTGTGTTTTCTATGATTATTATTGCATTATTATGACCATGGCTGTGTTTGTAATTCTCCTCCTCTCTGAAATCAGGAATCATCCCTGGAGCATATATGACTGCCAGCAGCCCTCCAGAGTTCCCTGATCCAGGGTAGAAAGGGAGGCACGTGATTCACTGTTTCTCCTGGCCCTGCACACTGGGACTTTGGCTCCCAGTCTGGCTGGGAGTGCAGCCTGCGTGCCAGCCACACTCTCCTGAGCCATCCCCTGCCTTCTTACTCTGATTTTCCCTAGTCTGTGTCTCCAGCCTGTGATGATGGCTGCTCCTTGCCAGGGTCCTCCTAAGTGATTCATAACTACTCAGCCTTCCTTCTCAATGGATTCTCTTCCTGTGGGCATTTTCCAGTGTTCCAGTTTCCACAGTTCATTCACACCATAGGCCAGATATCTGGGAATCACCCAGGCTCCTCCCAAGTCGTCTCTGCCCGTTAGCCATAAGTATTCCCTGAGCATTTTTTTTTTTAATGGTGGCAAGGTTTATTTGAAAAGTGAGAGATGAGGAGAAACTGGCTGTGCAGAGCTAAATTGGGCCAAATAAGAGAGGAAAAGAAAAAAATAAAAATAACAGTACACCCTGGTCTGGAAGGCTCAGGATGGGCTACTGTGAGCAGTCATGATAGCCCTGAACAACTTCCAAATCAGTCTTCTTCTCTCTGTCTCCAGTAAACAGAATTTTGTTTATGATTTCTTCACTTTTCTCACCTGGTTGACCTAGTCACCTTCCTTCCAAATCATTCTTCGGTCTCTGCTCTCCACCCTGACTGCCAGAAGGTTCTTTCTAATGCATAAATTGGACCAGATCTTACCCCTGTTTCGTTTTCCAATGGTTCCCTGTTGGCTAAGTTGTTCAAAAAAGGTTCCAAGAATTAAACTGAAAAACAAGTATTGCGGAAATGTTTAGAAAACACAGCTTACTTTCTCTTCTCTTAGATAGTCACACTGCACAGGAGTGTAATAAAGGTTGCAGAAAGCCCCACAACAGAGATTTGCATTGCACATTGGTTCTGGGTTTTATCTGACACACTAGGCTTTTCTCCACATCCTCCTACTAGTCAATTGGGAGAAATCTTCCAAAGAACACTCTTGGAGAAATGCTGTCTGGCAGATTAAAGTTCAAGTTCAGTTTCCTTAGCATGATATAAAAATAGGAAACTATTTTTCACCGTTCCCCAACCCGTTTTTACCTCTCAGATTATCTGCTGTTCTCCTGTGTGTAGTTCTGTTCACCCTTGTAATCCTGCTTTGCCTCTTATTTCTTACATGGCATCTGCATCTCTCCTTTTGAGTCCACTGTTGCTTGGCTTTGCAGCTGTGCCATTTGCCTCTTTGCTTGTTTTCACTGAAAGGTCAGTTCCTCTGCAGAATGGCAGAGTTTATTTGTCTCACTATTCCCAAGACTCACACGGTGCATGGGACATGGCAGGGTCTCAGTGTTGGCTGAGCAGGTAAAAGATGAAACAGGATCAGAGCTCTGAGATTCAGTGCTGTGACGGGAGAGCTCACTGCCTCTGAGGATAATTCTGAGCCAGGGTTTGTCAACCACAAAACCATTGACATTGCGGACCAAATGGTTCTTTGCTGTAGGGACTGCCATGTGCATTAGAAAATCTTTAGTAGCATCCCTTCTCTCTTCCTCTTTGATGCCATGAGCAGTTAACCACTTCGATGATGATAAAAAATGTCTCGGGACTGGGGATTTAGCTCAGCTGTATAAGCGCCTGCCTTACAAGCAGGCAGTCGTGAGTTCGATCCCTGGTACCGATAAAAAGGAAAAAGACCAAAAAAAAAAAAAAAAAAAAAAAAGATAAAAAATGTCTCTAGGTGCCAGGTGCACACATGTGGAATCCTAGAATTCTAGGAAACTGAGGCAGGAAGATGGTAAGTTCCAGCCCAGCTCGGGCAATTTAGCTACTTAATAAGAACCTGTCACAAAATAAAGAATGTAAAAAGGCTTGGGGTATAGCTCAATGTAAAAACTCCAAATTCAGTTTCCAGTATGAAAAAAAAAAAATAAACAGAGAGAAATCACTACACATTGCCAAATGTCCCTTGGGGAACAAATCATACCTGGTTGAGACCACTATTCTGGACATAGGTTATTTTCCTGTCTTTGGGTAGGTGATACTTTTCTCAGATAGTTTAATCCATTCTTTTGTCCTTAAAACTTTATCAGACATCAGCCAGGTGTGGTGGTGTACACCTGTAATCCCAGAACTTTGGAGGCTGAAGCATGAGGATTAGTGTGGGTTTGAGGTCACCCTGGACTACACAGGCAGTTTAAGGCTAGCCTGGACTGTGTAGTAAGACCCTGTCTCAAGACAAACAAACAAAACCCCACAAAAAACAAATTTATCAGACATCAAAATAAATAAACAAATCCTCCTTCCATACATGAGGCTGAATTTTCTATCTCTGGGGGAAGTCAAGTAAGTTCCAGGAGGGGTAGAGGATGGAGGAGCCAGCCTAGAAGAGGCGCTTGTGCTGGAGGTGGGGAGGCTCGTGGGATGGATAGGAGTCCTTGCTCTGGGCGTCTCCCTTTGTTCCCTAGAGTAGAGAGAATGCTGCGGTGCGCAGAGTGGCCTTGGAGAGAGATGCCAGCCGGGCCTATGCTTTCTGAGAAGCATGTTCTCGGGCAGAAGGAAAGTCCCATCTACCCTCCTCCTGTTTCTGTGGGAGCGCGGAAAGATGAGGGCTCTCCTACAGCTGCCTTCTCACCCTTGCTCGTCCTTGCAGTCAGTGCTGAGGGGAGCCAAGCCTGCGCCAAGGGCTGTGAGCTCTGCTCCGAGGTCAACGGCTGCCTCAAGTGTTCACCCAAGCTCTTCATCCTGCTGGAGCGGAACGACATCCGCCAGGTGGGCGTCTGCTTGCCATCCTGCCCGCCCGGATACTTTGACGCCCGAAACCCCGACATGAACAAGTGCATCAGTGAGTGTGGGCACGCTGAAGAGGGGCACTGAGACTGCACCCTGGGAGAGGGTGCTTCGAACTGTTGGTGGCCCATGAGGGACACAGAGGGGTCTCTGATGAGAGGAAATGAGGCTCTTGATTTGTGTCTCCAACTGCCCAGATATCCCACCCATACATCCCACTCTGTGTCCAAGCCAGAGCCCACCTCCTCCCTCAACACTATCCCCATCTCTGTTTCCACAGGTCACTCTCGGTGTCCCGACTTGTCACCCAAGCCCTAGACCTGAAACCAACTCTCACATGTGCCGCTCCTACCCAGCCAATCAATATCCATCTCTTTCCATCTCCATGCCATGGTTTTACACGCACCTCTCCCCCAGGCCACTGCACTAGCTTCCCCATCTGTCCTGAGCCTGCCCTGCATTGTCTCCAACACTGTGAAAGATGCTTCTGAGAATACAGCCTATCCCAACACACTTCTGCTGGGAAACCACTTTCGGCTCCCCACTGGCGCAGGGAAATCTACATTTGGGTAGCCCACTCTTTCACCTCTTCTGCCCCCTGATCTTCTGGGTCCACTTTGCTATACCAGCTATAGCGCCACATGCTCCAAGGCCCAGACTGCCCTCTCTCCGTTCCATCTCCATAACCTCATCTGTGACATACTGGGGGACATGCAGTAACCACACCTGAGTGAACAATGCCAGTATCTCTCTATTTGTTCAGGACCTTGTGGTTTAGATTGTGTGTCAATTGAGCCTCCCAATAACCTTTGGAGGGAGACATGGTAGAAGGTACACTACCCTTCAAGGCAGATAACTTAGCGACTGGGGGAGGGGAGGAGTTGATGGCCTCCACTTGGCCACCTGAGTTCTGATCTCAGTGCTGCTTTTTATCCATTGTATAACCCTGAGCATATCTCAGCCTTTGAGCACTGCGTGTTTAAAATGGGAGTACTAGCTTTTACCCCCTGGGGTTGTTGTGAGATGCACCTACAAAGCTCTTGTTATCTGGCACTCAGCACAACGTACTTGATGTTTCTGTTTGAGTTGTTTTACTGGCAATCAAAGCCAGGAGTCAAGCACTAGGCAGGAAAGGAAGGATGGAGCTGAGGCTGAGATAGCCATAGAGGTTAGGAGATATAGAGGAAGGTGGAGTGGGGAGCATTCTGGGATGGAGGTAGGACCAGGCTGTCCTTTTGGTCATCAAGGTGTTGGGAGGCAGGAGGTTTCTGGCTGTGCCAGCTGCTGGGAAACTGAGGTGTCAGAGACAGAGATGAAGTCAGCCTCACCTGCAATCCAGAAAGGGAGAAATTGTGAAAGACCTGCCAGGCCCCAACCAAGCTCTACACAACCCACCCTCCCCCAGAGGAGGGAGCTGGCAGAAGGAAAGCAGGGAGGGACCCATAAGTCCAACTAAGGTGGGTTCTGGAACTTGGGCTTGCACAAGAAGAGGAATTTGCCCTGGGATTGCTCCCTGCTCCTCCGAGCAGATTACTTCTCCCTCAGGCAGGAGGAGAAGCAGAGCTGGGATGCTGTGGATGCTCAGCAATGAGGGAAGGGGGGTCCACCTAGCCACTCTGCAGACATTTCTCTGCCCCTCTTTTCCACTCTGATTGGGGATGGGTGTGAGATGGGATGCCAGGAGAAGCTGAAACACTCCTCTTACACCCCACCTAACCCAGGGGACTCCCTTTCTCCTGTTCTCCTAAAGCCAGTTCCCTTAGGCCTCTTCTTGGGTTCTGAGGTCTGATGCTGGGTTCAGGTTCTAACCAGCTAATGGTGGCAAGAGTCCCAGTCAGTCCTTGGGGGCAGCCCCGTTAGCCTCCCCTCTCCAGTGCTGTCTTTGCCTCTGCCTTTCTTCTCCTAAGACTCCTCAGCTGTGATCGAAAATGTAGGGCAAAGTCCTGGCCTCTGTGTGGGTGGGCATGGATAGGTGGGTGTTGGGACTGGGTGTAAGGGAAGTGTCCATTTCAGGCTGGGCCAGAGGCCCCCAATTTGGTCCTGTCCACAGAATGCAAGATTGAGCACTGCGAGGCCTGCTTCAGCCACAACTTCTGCACCAAGTGTCAGGAGGGCCGGTATTTACACAAGGGTCGCTGCTACCCAGCCTGTCCTGAGGGCTCCACCCCCACCAATGGCACCATGGAGTGCAGCAGTCCTGGTAAGCTGCAGCAGATGCTTCAGGCAGAGTCTGGGACCCCAGGTTGAGGGGAAGGATGGGGATCTGGCCAAAGAGCTCATGGGGTGGGACGATGTACCCAGAAAGCTTACCTCGCCCCATCTTCTGGGGTTCCCATGTGGCCCTCTCTACCCTCCAAACTAAAGATGTTTGGCATGAGGCCCAGGCAGAGGGCAGGTGGGTGAGGCTCCTCTGAGGTGTTCTGGATGGGGGAGGAAGGCTCCTCCTCCTCTTCCCTATCTCCTGTTCCCTCCCTTCATGCCAGCACAATGTGAAATGAGTGAGTGGTCGCTGTGGGGACCCTGCTCTAAGAAGAAGAAGCTCTGTGGCTTCCGGAAGGGCTCTGAGGAGCGGACACGCAGAGTGCTTCATGCTCCCTGGGGGGACCACACCACCTGCTCTGACACCAAGGAGACCCGGAAGTGCACAGTGCGGAGGACGCCGTGTCCTGATGGTGAGCTGCAGCCTCTGCCCCTTGGGGTCCAGCCACCTCTGGAACCTAGCCAGTACTCACAGCAAAGCCAGATGGAGAGTCCTCCACCCAAGACCTCATGCTGTCCAAGCTTGAGGCTGTGTCCTGGCAGACAGCGGTACCCCAGAACTGTGTGGCAGGAGCTGAAAGCTTCTGTGGTCTCCATCCCTGCAGTGTCCCCATTTCTCGTGGTTGTTCACGCTAAAAGGACCCTTGCTGGTCAGATAGAGGATAGGCTTAGTCTCAGAGATAGGACACAGCCCACAGTGACAATGAGGTTGCTGCTGCTCCTTGTCTGGCCCCACAGGTTGCAGGTGAGAGGTAGGGAGGGGGCTGAGCTGTCCTGAGCTGCATTGAGCACCTGGAAAGTACAGTAGGCCCATGGGGACCCAATGTGTGAGAAGGTCACAAGGAAGAGGAGAGTATTTGGTGTGCACTGAGGGGTAGGGGGAGCAGAGACTCACTCTGGAGACTCTTAGTACTCGTGTTGTCCCATCTTCTAGTGGCTACTGGTCAGAGGAGGGCTTCAGGTGACCAGAGTCTCCAGGTCTCCTCACTGCCTCCTGCCAAGCTTCCTCGCTGCTCTGATCCCTCACCTTGCCCAGGATCTCTGTACACTCTTGCTGATTCTTCCTGCTGTCTGGGTTGTTTCAGGGCAGAAGAGGAGAAAGGGAGGCCAGGGACGGCGGGATAACACCAACAGGAACTCAGGCCGGAAGGAGAACAAGGAAGCCAGCCCGAGCTCTCGGAGACCTAAGGGGCAGCAGCAGCTGCCACGGCAGCCACAGCCAGGGACAGCGGGACCACTCACATCTGCTGGGCCCACCTAAGCACAGGATCCAGCCCCCAGGCACATGCAGAAGAGCCCTGTGCTGCTTTGCGTCAGGAAATCTTCCTAGAACTGGAGTGTCAGTGGCAATGTGCACGTATACACTCCATCCATCCATGCACTCACAGCCATGTCCCACTGTGCAATCAGACATACACATGCATGTGCAAACACACATACACAACTGAGGCCACCAGAAGACACTTCCACCCTGTGGCCCAGCAATACACACTTGGCGTACGATGCACACAGTGGATGTGTCAGACCATTTCCCAGCATCCAAATGCAAACTTTGTAGCATGCAACCTTCTGAAGAAGCAGCTGGGATTGCAGGTGTGGTGGAGCAGCCAACACTTGAGGACTGCTGAGGGAGAAGAATTCATCCTGCCCATTCAGCACGCCAGCTATGTGACTTTATCTTGGAGAGTATCCCTATGCATCTGTGATACATATCAGGGCTGACCTGACTCAAAAAACTGCTTAAAAGTTTATTTCAAATTAAAAAAAAAACCAACCACCGTAGCCATAGGTACCACTTTCTGTTTCAGAAACCAACAGTAGTCATAGGTACCACTTTCTGTTTCAGAGTGTGAGGATGGGGGTAGAGGGTAGGGCTGAATTTCTAGATACTCCCAAATTGCAACAGAGGTCCAGAGCAGGAGGAAAACTTCAGGGAGATTCTGAGAGCAGTAACCAGGTCCTCTTTATTCTCATTACTTAGATTAGGTCTGTGGACCAACACAACATTGTCACCAAGCACTTATTAGGAATGAGAGTCTCAGGTCCCATCCCAGATTGAATGAACCAGGATCTGCATTTTAGCAGAATTCCTTCTGCTTAGCGTGCTCATCTGGGATCAAGAAAAGGCCCTGGGCCAGCTCAGAAGGGGCATTTTCCAGAGGCTACGTCTGGGATGGGGTCCTGCTCAAAAGTGAGGCAGTGAAGAAAACACTCCTATGGCCTGCTGGTGTCCACTGGCACCAGTCCACGTGTCAGCGGCTGGTTGGTTTCCAGATAGACCCAGCTTGCTTTCGTGGACCTTAGAGATCGGTGGGAGAAACAGGCCTGCATCAAGTACTTACAAATAAGGTACGGACACGGACTGACCAAGTTAAGGCAGCAAACCCTGGTGCATGCGTGTCACTATGAATGTGAACGCAATGAAATAAAATAAAAAACTTTATCTCAATGAGGCTTTCTCAGGAGGAGGGAATATCTGAGCCAAGCTCTGAAGGGTGAGTGGAAGCCTTAAGACAGAGACTGGAGGAATGGAATTCTAGACTGGTACAGCCAGCAGAAATGCGCAAGCCACATATGTAATTTAAAATCTTCTGATATTCATAATTTAACCAAATATCTATTGTCTACCCAAATATATGCAAAATATTATTTTTAACATGTAATCAACATAAAATTTTTTTGAGAGATCTTTTACATTTTTTAAAACCAAAACAATTTTTTGGAGACAGTCTTGGTGTGCAGGCTAGTCCCATCTCAGTGTGTAGCCCCTGCTGACCTTGAACTTGTGACCTTCCCGCCTCAGCCTCTTAAGTCTTAGGATTGTAGGGGTGTACTACCATGCCTAACTTGAACTAAGTCTTAACATTGCCCTTGTATTTTTACATTTATAGCATAACTTCATTTGAATGTTGAAGTTTTCATTAGAAGTACTTGATCTGTATTTAAACTTCATAAAAATTAAGGTTAAAATAGAAAATTGCTTACCCAAGTTATTTTAAGAATAGTTTTTTCCAATAACTGAATTGAATATTTTTAAATGTAAAATAGCATTAAAAATTCAGTTCTTCAGCTGGGCATGGGGGCGCACATCTGTAATCCCAGAACTCAGGAGGCTGAGGCACAAGGATCCTTGTGAGTTCAAGACCAGCCTGGGCTACAAACTGAGCTCAAGGCCAGCCTGAACTGCATTGCGAGACTCTGTCTCAAAAAGATTTTTTAAAAAATTCAGTTCTTCAGTTGTACACTTGTCATAGTTTAAGCTTTCAAAAGGTATTTGTGGCCAGGGACCACTGCATTAGACAGCACATTTTTGTTTAGAAGACACATACATGCAAATGTCCTGTAGCAGAAAAGGCTTTTATAGTAAGGGACCAAAAGAAAGCCAATAGAGCTGCAAGCACTAGGGTACAAGTGAAGTGAATGATTCCAGAAAAGCCCTCTGGAGTTGAGCTGTTATTCTCAGAGCCAGTGAAGGCTGCTGAAGGGTTCTAAGCTCCAGGTCAACACAATCAGATTTGTCCTTTGCAAAGACCATGTTGTGTGCAGCATAGAAGGCAGGTTGAAAAGAGGCCGTTTGGTGGAAGGAGACTATGGATGGTATCCAGGTATTGAAAGGCACCGAAGGCTTAGACTGGGGCGGTCATGGAAATGGAGATAAATGGGCACAAACTTACTGGGAGAATAAAGCTGAACGTTTGGTGATGAGCTGAATATGGATGAGGGAAGGAAGGAGAAAGGGTTGTCAAAGACCAAACCTTCATTTCTGTCTTAAACACCTAGATGGATGGTGGATATAGAAAGGGGGAGCACACGAGAAAGACCAGTTTGGGAGAAGGAAGAGCATAAATTTGGCTTTGATCGTGTTGAGTTTGCAGTACCTCTGAGACTTCCAAGGGAAGATGGTGAGCAGATACTGCCTACTCCTAAATCCAGGTCTAGAGAGCACCGGAGATTCAGGCAGGAGTACACACTGGTGTAGAGAAGATCCGTGAGGTCAGGAGAGCTCACCTGACAAGAGAGCTCTGGATGAAGCAAGGACCCAATTCTGTGGCCTTCCAAATAAGGAAGACCAGATCCCAGAGGGTCTGTTGGCAAAGACGTCAGAGTAGAAACAGGCAGAAGGAGAACCTGGAAAATAATGAGTTTTAGAACCAGCAAGAAAAGGAGGGAGATCAAAGGGACCAGACTTTACATGAGAAAAGGGAAGAGAAATTCCATAGGTACTGGAGAGAGACAGGAGTTGAGCGAGGTAGGGTTTTTTTTTTGTTGTTGTTGTTGTTGTTGTTTGGTAGGAATGACTTGAAAATGTCTAAACGCTTTGGGGAAGGGTATAGTGAAGACAAAGAAATTAAGTATAAAGGATAGAAGTGGACCCAGTTTGGGGGAGGGTAGATAACACTAGAGGGATAAGGAAAAAGGGATGCAGATCTGTGAAGCCTGGCAGGTGGGAGAGAAGGGAAACCTTAGGTCTGTGTACCTTCAGGTGTTGGTTTACCCATGCTTGGGATTCCCTTCACTGCTGGTTGGAATTTGGAGCCTGTGCTGGAGCCTGGGTGGCCCCTCTTGCCTTGCCTCCTCTCCTTGACTTTGCATGTCTTTGCCAGTCACTTTGTGCCAATCGCTCTTCCAACTCTGTTTTAACTCCTTGTTTGTCATTCTGTTTCTCTGTCTTTGTCACACTATCTCTCTCTTACCATTACAGTCTTGATATTATTCTTATCATTGTCAATGTCTTTCTCTGTCTTCTAGACCACTCCTCCATCTACATCTTGACTGTTTCTGGTTTTGATTTGTTCCTATCTCCCAGATCCTTAAGCAAATTCAGCTGTAGCTGTAGACCAACATCCTTGGCTTCACCTGGGAGCTTGCTAAAAATGCAGGCTCCCTGGTCCCTCCCAGAGAAACAACTTGAATCTGCCTTGTAACAAGACCCCCTAGGTTACTCATGTATTTAGTTAACATTGAGACCCATTGCCAAAAGCTTTCTTCTAGAACAACACCCAAACAAGTGTCCAGAAGCTCAGCAGCATCCAGGAATGAGCTGGAGCCTCCTGATCGCACCAGTCTCTTTGGTGCTGCTCTGAGGCACTTAGCCTCTCTGCTTCACCTCCTTGAACCCCATGAAGCTGCTCCTGGAACTCCAGGCAGCTCAGAGAAGGAGGATGTGGTTCTAAAAAATCCTGAAACCACTGAAGCACACTCCACACCTCAGCTTCTACGTCTGGGAAATTCTTGCTAAAGGAAATTCTGATCCTGGTGCCTTGGGGCTTCCAGGTGCTCCCCTTGCATTCCTGAGAATGATGGATGAGCCCCTGCACCTATACTGTCTGGCTCACTTTGTGTTTTTTGAGCTGGAGAGGAGTGTGGGTTTCAAACTGTGGGGCATTCATTTCTCTGGAAGCATCCCCCACTGAAGCAGAGACCACAAGTGCTAGAAGCAGCCAGAGTTGGTCCAGAAATCAAACTTTGTGCTTTTTGGGGATGAATGCTGGAAACAGGAATTCTGTGTTAGGATGTAGTGTTGTCTAGCCCAATATCTAGGTTTAGACACCAACAACACATGACTCTATGTTGTTTGTAAAATGTTAGCATTTTCCTCTACAGGGTCGCAGACTTGCCCAGACTAACCCATTTCTGGCCACCTTACCTAGTTCCAGCTCTGGTACATTTCAGATCAAGTCTCCAGAGTATGGGTTTGCTTTCTATTTCACTATCTTGAGTGACAAGGTTTGTTTTCTGGATTTGTTTCTTAACTGGGGATTTTTTTCCTCCTCTAGTTTGGTTTGGTTTAGAATGATTGCCAGGGAATTTAGGAAAAGGGTCAGTTTCTTGGGACATACTCTCAGTCCCTGATACAGAGCTAGTACCCCATGTGATGGCTCTTTGCTTCTGATCCCTCCAGCTTTGACTCTGACAAGATTTAAGGTGAACACCTTAGTGAATGGAAGGGGACAAACAAACAGAACAGTTTGCATTTTGCGGGACTAAATGGATTCATTGAAAAGCACAGGGCCCAGTGAACAAGAACAAAAGCCTAGTTATAGAGGAGTGAAGAAGATCTGAAGAACAGATGCCTAAGGGGATCTGAGACCTAGCATACCAGAGCTGGGTGCACCTGCTTTGGTGTGGTGTCCCGGCTGGCGCTCCCTAGGGAAAGAGCCAACTCAGAGTGAAGAATAAACAAGCCTTGGCTGGATGCTCGGATGAGGCTACTTCAGCACTGAGTTAGTGGCCTGTACTACAGAGGCCCTTGGATGAGCTAGCAGTGCTGGGGATGCTGAGAAAACTAGTAAACCTGAGCCCCCGCCTTTCTTTGGCACTCTTACCCTACCGGGTTGGTGGCCACAATGATGAAAGACTCCTGTTGTGACTGTGAGAAGGTGGTTTGGGTCATATTCTAGAGTCTTCCAGATTTTTAAGTAGGAAGTTGCGAAACAGGACTACATTTTGAAAGAGAAAGTATGTGAAAAATGGTTCCTCCCTCGCCTGTTCACTCTCCCGGGGCTTGGTGCAGGGAGGTGGGTGAGATGGATTCCTGGCCAGACTCGTGTGGGGCAAGCTCGGCCCCCAAGGGTTCTTCAGGTGAGCCTCCAGCATCTGCCAGCCTTTGACTATGGATCATTATTACTGGGATGTACTGTCTCCATCTGCTGCACATCAGCCTGGTCCATGAAGAAGGCCAGCTTCTTCCTCCAGCTGTTTGTCTCTTCAAAGGGGTGGCTTCTGAGGCCTCCTTCTGTAATCCAGTATGAAACATGGGCTGCTGATTGAACATTTGAAAT